GAAAATGCATGTTACATTTAAACAATTATGTTGCTATTTAAGCCAAAATATTCTTAGCCATCCTAAGGTAACCCGCTTTCCATGTTTTCATCTGCAGTGGCTGCAAACATCTCTGCTTTCATTACCTCCAGGCTCAGCTAATACTCTGATTAAAACCTAGAGTATAAAGTGACTGTTTGGTACTAAGAGTCAATGTTTAAATCTCTGAACATTAGTAGTGTTTCAAGTAAAGGGGTCAGTTTTACTACATATAAGAGAAGTTTTCAACAACACATTGTGTTGGCTTCTACTTTGAGGAAAAAAATTCCAGATTTGTGTCTTACGAGACTGAGTTACGTCAGAAGTATGATTTGAGATTTTCCAAGAAGGAGCATTAGTCTCATATAATTTGGGAATAAAACATTTGATTATTTTTACTGTTTAGTCTCCTACCACTTGTGACAACTGTTTTATCACAAGCTTACGTATCTTGAAGTCTTAAAGTAAGGGATGTTAGTTTTCTGAATCTGTTTGTAATTTGACAGCACTCACTCCCTTGTGGAACTGTAGTTTAACTTTTCTAAAATTTCCCTCCTTCAGTGCTAAACAAACCCTGTTTCTGCATGTCTGAGTCTAGGTGGATGCATTACGATTACGTCTGGAAGAGAAGGAGACTATGCTAAATAAGAAGACAAAGCAGATTCAGGAGATGGCAGAGGAGAAGGGGACTCAAGCAGGAGAGATCCATGACCTCAAGGACATGTTAGAGGTGAAGGAACGCAAAGTTAATGTTCTTCAGAAGAAGGTAAGATTTTAGAGGTTTAAGTCAGATACACATCTCTGCTGAATCTCCATTTCTGTCTAAAAGTCTGAACGAGAATTTACATTTTGGAGTTTAATGATTGAGTCCATTCATGTAATGGGAAGATGGCGAATGATGAATTTCAGTTTGAAGTTTTGAAGAAAAAATGAAGAATTCAAAGCAGAGGTTGTTGCCTTTCAGTGGTTGCATGTGCTGCTTCTGCTTCTACTTTATTATTACCAATGAGCTAAGTATTTGTAGGAGAGCACATCTTCTGATCTTCTTACACACCCACCACCTTAACAAAGCCACACTGATTTTAAGCGGAGGGCACTGGGTGACTATGACTTCAGTATGTGACTAAAGGAACGAGGGGTTGTACCAGTAGAAGCAATTAAGATGATTCCTCTGTAACTTAGAAAAATTCAGGAAGAACTTTCTATAACTTTCATTAGAAATGCTGTTTTATTATACTTAATATTTCTTGGGAATTACTGGAACAGGATAATTAGGGTTCAGACTATCCTGCATATCTTTCTGGATAAAAAAATGTAGACCTTGTCAGTGAGATGGGGGAGGTCTGGATAAGAAAAAGTAGATCCTGTCAGGGAAATTAGAGAGGTTTCCCAAAGGGCATTGAGTCCTAGGGCAATGAATGTCATTATGGATGATAGTTTGCAAATTGCACACAATGTTTCCCAAACGGCTGCTACACATGGTAAAAAGAGAGAAATGCATGTATCACAAGAAATTTTAATTTACAGAAATTTGTTTTCTCTGTATTTTTAAAGAAGCTGCTCTTGGAGCTTGTATTCAATGTATTAGGCTGTGAATGTGGGTTTTTTGCTAGACCTTTAAGGAATTCTATGCAATTCTTGTAATTTTAATAGTTCAGAATATTGATTAATTTCTGATGCCTGGCCAGTGCCTTTTCTTCTAGAATATAGCTATGAATCATGAGGGTTCAGTTCTGTTACAGCAAACTTCATGTGGGAATGGAAGTTCAGGCATGGATTTTAGCCATAAATAAGTCATTAATAATTTTACAACAGAGCCCTAATTCCCAGTCTTCATGGTCTAATTTTTTGACTGTTCATCTTTTTAGAAACACAGATTTCTAATTTTTGTGCCGTGCTCTCTTTGTTTTCGAAATTGGTCATGCACACTCCAAACATTGATTGAGATCCCAGCTGAATGTTTAATGAAGAAGTGGGGAATCTGACATTTACGTAAATGTTAAATGTCAGTGAGATTGTTTTACTTCCATTACTCTTACGCTGTTTTTTCACGTGTTCTTATTTGCTCTACTTAACTCTTTAGGATGATCTTTCATTGGTTCATTTATAGGCAGTGCTAAAGGTTCTCTTTTTACTCATTTTTTGTACTTGTTTTCTTGAGAACACTGTAATCCATATTTAGACAGTTTCATCTTGTCTCTTCATGTGGCAAGCCTATTTTTTGAGGTTCATTTGCTGCTGCTTTCAAGTAAAAGTACCTGGTCTCTTCACACTAGAAAGTAAGGGCCCAAGCTTTTAGATGTAAAGTTTTGAGGTCTTGTTCTTCTAGATAGCTCAACAGAGGATAATACTACCATAGTAAACTTCAATTTGAATTGTTTTGTAAATGTGTTTCTGAGCTTCTGGAACAATGAAACATATAACCTGTCTATAGAAAAATATTGCTTTCCTGCTGCTAACTAGAATCACATGCAGAGATTTGAATTTGCTTCAGCCTTCAAGTTATTGGAACCATTTCCTTTAACATAAAGAGTTAAATTGTGAAGTTTTAAAATCCAAAGATGATTTTTTCACTTTCTATAACTAGCAAGCCAAAAATATTTTTATGGAGAATCCAGCTGACAATACTTTTATCTGAGGTTTGTGGTGCGATATGGAATTTCTTTTTATTTTTTGTATGTCCTAGGATAAATGAGAACAAATTCAGTTCTTTTACCCCCTTTATTTGGCATATTTTATCTCTTTAGCATTTTTGCACAGAAAAGCAGAGCTTGAGGAAATACCTAAGGAAGGACAGGTCTGATATTCTCTATATACTGTGGAAGTCATGAGAATTTGCATAAAATGTTTCAGATGCTAGAGGAAATTACGAAGTCTCATTTTTATCTGATATATATGCCTGTCCTTTTTTGACTGTACAGGTAGTATTTCTTCCCTCTGTCTGGAACTTTAGAACCCTATAGCTCCTCTCATGTAAATGTTTTTCTCTTAAAGCTTGTAACTCTGTTTTACTTTTTTGTATTTCTAGAATGCACCTTGTTATTAAAGTGCACAGCCTGTTTTCTGCTTTATCCAAGTGCTGTCTTTCAGACCTCCCAGGACAGTTCAGATTTTTTTTTTTTTTAAATGTGCAGCCTTTAAACTTTTGCCTTCATGCACAATAGTCTTTTTATTCCTCCCACTGATTATAAACTGGCATGTTCAGACAGATCACATTTTAATCTGTGTATTCTAATGGAAGATCTGCATGATACAGTTTGATATCTTCAGAGGTCATAGATAGTATTTTTTTTTACTGGCTTAGTTATCTGATAATAAATGCTTGTTTTAAGTTTATCAGCATGATTTAAGTGGTACTTAGGCATTTTAATTGAATACAGTGAAAGACTATGAAAGATGTGTGGTATGAAAAAGCTCTTCCTCTTGTGTAGTGTTAAGAAATATTTTTCTATTGATATTTGGAAGCAGCAGCATATAACTGCTGCTTGCAGTTATGAGGAGGTATGGGGTACAGGATGGGCATGTTGAAGGAATTTCACCAAATTAAGAATTAGGTTAGGAGATACTATTCAATCAGTTTTTACCAAGTACTCCTCCTTCAGCATATACTCAGATTTGAGTATATTTTTGAAGTGGGTACTCTAATGAAGTACATTTTGAACACTAATATTTTTTTAATGCTAGGTAAAAAGAAAATTTGTAGCAAAAGCCAAAATCATAAAGATGTTGAAAAGAAAAGAATTTACTGAGAAATCATTAACTTGCGTAACTTACCCATTCAGGAAAATTTGTTTACTTTCTTTTGAAATTAAGAGAGATCACCTCTACTAGTAATATAGCGATAGCCAAATGCTATATGGCTATGCTGGGCATTTGGACTTCTGTACATAATTTTTTTTTATTTTCAGTGACTGTTTTAGATGTGTAATCACCTATTCTGATGACACTGACAAGAAATTATTTGTTGTGGTGCCCAAAACTGTGCTATACCCCCTTTACTATTGGGTCTGTGTCGGATTCATTCATGCAGGCCACTGTATAGTTTGTTTGATGAACTATTAATATTACTGTTGTATTGATTAAATGTGGTGGACTAGGAAGTACACTTTCTGGTCATTCTACAATCCAGATGAAGAAAGTAATGGAAATTTACTGGCTGATTAGAGATCAAATAAAAGACACAGAAGAAGAGTATAAGCAACAAAGATCTGAAAAATTAACATGACAATTGGCATCACTACTGATACCCAGCAGGCACCAAAATGCATGTTCCAGGTTGCTGAGGAAACCACATGCTTCACATTTTAAATTCTGGAATCTTTCCAGTTCTAAGCTCCTACAGTGATGCTGCTTGATAGCACCTTTGTTTGAGGTAATAGAAATAGGGCAAATGCTAGAAATTTGGAAACTATAGGAATGAGTCTTAGCTTTATGTCTGGAATTTTGATGCAAAAACTTTGTTTTATAGAGCTTCAGGACTTTTTTTTCTTATTTCATTGAAAGTAAATCTGGCATAAAATCTCATTTTAAGTTGCTAGAACTCCAGGCAAGAGGAGAATGACAGAAAATAAAATAGGGACCATGCTGGGAAAATCTGAAATCTGAACCTGAAAAACATTAAATTGTGCTTCATTATTTTCTTTGCCACATCTGTCTATCTGTGCTGGTAGACCAGGATGAAAAGGAGTAGGAAAAAAAAAAAATCAATATTTTGCAATCAAAGCATTTTAGAGAAATAGCATTTGGGACAAAAGATAAGAGTTACTCTGAAAGAAAAAAAAAGCAGTGAATCAATCACCCCTTGCTTTGGGGGGAGGTCATGTTTTGTCTTCGGAAGGGGGGGTTAACACTCCGTTGTGAAACGCAGCTGCAGGCAAATAAAATGCAAGTTTTAGCGTCTGAACATAGCAGTGTTTTTTGGCAGCTCCCCATGCAGTATGTGATAATTGACCTGTGATAACAGAAAGGAAGAACATAATGATGTTGTTGTTGTTGTTGTTGTTGTGGCTGTGCTGATGTTACTTGTTTGGCTAGTATTCGGGAAGACTCCAAACCCAACTTTCCTGTTCTTTTGGATGAGAAGCATTGCCTTTCTCCAGAGTAAATAAATGCCCTCTTCTTTTCAGAAAGCATAGAAATCAAAATATCTTATGCTTAAGGATAAGGAGTACTGTGTGGCAGAAGGACTGCAAACAGAATTTGTAACTCAGTTGTTTACAATCAGTAGTAATCATGGTTACTACAACAGCAGTGTTAGTTTAGTATTCATAACTTTTAAAGTTCACTGTTTGTACTTTAAAGATTGTTTCCTTTCCATTCCCTCATCTGTGAAGGAGATTTACCTCCTCAGGCAGCTCTTCTGCTCCAGCCCTGAAGAGACGAGAGAGCACGCAGAAGGAACTGCATTTACAAACGTTTTGTTCAGTTTATGGTAGTTTCATCTTCCCTGGTGTGACCTTGAACTTGCCTACCAGCTGAGTGAATGTATGGTTTTCTAAGAATTAATAAAATGCAGGGTGGACTTTTAGATATCCCTTTGAAACTGTCTGAGATGTCACTTAGTGCTTAAAAATCCTGTATTATTAACATTGTAGGTGATGGCCTGTTCAAGCCTGCAGCATGTTTCTGAGTCTTTGGTTGTGCGAACTATACAGAAAAGAACAGAGTGAGACTGTCCCAACAAAGATGGTCCACGTGTACATTTACAAAGTGGGTGAGCATATGCCCTCGTATTTAAGACTAGATCATTTTTTGCCTCTGTAATAT